AAACAGTTTAGAAAGTCAACACGAACACAGGTGCTTTTGAAAACAAGGCTTTTCCTTCTCTGTTCTAACAAACAATATCCCATCCAAACATGCTGGTGTAAAAAATGTGTCCAAATCAAAACAGTTGAAGCGCTGCAAAGAGCACACCAAACCAGCAGGCAGTGATATAACTGTAACCCAGCGATGATGCTGGCCAATCAGAGGCCTGTAAAAACTTACCTGAAGGCTATGTGTTACCTCTGCTCCTCAGTATTGTGGAGGAGTAACTGAACATTTGTGTAAACATGTAAAAATTCCTTTAAGCAAAGTCAGAGCAGCACTTTTTTGTTCACCTCCTCCATTACTGAAATGTTATCTCATTTCTCACTTTGACAGAGTACCCTTGTGTGTGTGGACGAGGCCTCAGGAACCTTTTTGTTTCCACCGGGGTAAACTTTAGTTAGTTGGTTAAATTTAGTCCCTGATGCATGTGTTTATCACATGTTCAAGAATCAGTGTCACACCACAGTAAATAAGATCAACATGAAAGCTGCTGTGTTCCCTGAGCATTAAAATAAGTCATCAAACATGTTTTTTGTAATCACTGTCAGGCTGATGTGATTTTCCTGATCTTCATGATTCCTCAGGTCACATTTCTAAATTACAAACTTCTGTGTTTGCAGCCGTCACAACAACTTTAAACCTGATTTTTTTTTTTTTAAACATTTTCATTTGCTCGATTTTATAGGAATTGGTGGGATTTTATTGATACCAAAGATTCTGCTTATCAGTCCAATTCTTCAATTACTGATCAGTTTTCTGTGTGAAACCTCGAACTTTTTTATTTTACTATCATAATTTTTCTGACAGTAATCAACAGATTATTTAGCAAAGCCAGAATCCCTTAGCTGCACCCTTTAGATTATTTTTTTTAAAGCTTTTTATTCAGTTGAATTCATGATCAGTTTCAGTGAAGCTGAAGCTCTGTTGCCATAGTTACCTGCAGTGTTACACACCCTGATGTAAAACAGTGGTTAAACTTTTGACCCGTGTTTGTTTGAGGCGTCCTGTTATATGATTTTAACTGACACTCACCAACCAATCAGAAGCCAGTATCTATCGTTGCCATGGCATCATAAAGGTTAAAGCAGCTGTTAAACCGGCTTCATGACGTCTTTTATTCTCCATAAAATCCATGATGACGTGTTTTCATTAGAAAAGCTGTGCGATCAGATGCAGTCAGTGAAGAGACGTCAACACATTGACACACACAGGCTCGCTCAGAACAAACTGATGCTTTAAATAAAAAATATCTTTAAGTTTTGGGTTTAAAACATCTGGAACGTCACAATTAAATGTTAAAGCAGGATGCAGTTCAGCTACATGTTGGAGCTTTGATGTTGTTTTACACTGATTCACACAAAATGAACTCTGGTTTCAGTTTCTCTCTAATGTGAAGATTTACTACTGTTCTGTCGTGTGATAAATTAAATGTTTTTCACTTTTGGACTGACTGTCGAACAAAAAAAAAAAAGCTCTGCAGAGTTGTGACAGTCATTTTTGACTTTTCATCAGCAGAACAGTTGAATTAAAAAAAAAAAATCAACAGGTTAATTGAAAATGAAAAAATAATCATTAGCTGGAGCCCCAAGCAACAGATTGTTAGATTAATTTGTTTTAATTAATAATTTCTCAAATTGAAATGAATGATTTTAGCTTTTTTTTTCCAAGCAGCTGCTGGTTCTGTCTGTCTGTCTGTCTGTCTGTCTGTCTGTCTCTGTCTCCTCACTGTGATCCAGGTGACTGGATGCTGTCTGGAGCCGCACTGACCTCGTTTCACCTTCATGTCCTGATGGTACCAGGTGAACAGACAACATTAGAAAAGGGGTGGGAGGCAAACTACAGCCCGCTGCCTGTTTTATAAGAAAAATGAACTAGATTATAACTCGAGGATATTTCTAATAAATTACTTTATGTACATTCATTGTATCTGCGAGCTCTGCCGTTGCACTTCTTTATTTGAACACTGGGTGTCGCTGTTTCACCTACAATGACTGACTCATGGCGGCAGATCATAAAAGATGAAAGATGGAGAAATACTATTTTCAAAACATTTCATAATAAACAGCATAAAGCCAATACAGATAATAACAGATTATGGGGATACGAACAGAACATTAACAGAAATCTTATATCAGGTCATGAGATGTCGTATAGGGTAAAGACGATCACTGTTTTAACCGCTTTCATATTTAGAGAGTAGAACTGATTTTGATGATTTTGTTTGAGTTCAGATCCAAATATTATAAGAGTGTTTATGATAGGAAAATTTTGATTAACGAATGTAAGATTTTGCAAGTAAACAAATCAAATTGATGATTTGATATTAACTTGATAGAGGGGTAGATAAAAAGCCAAACAATATATTTGCATATCAGTCTTCAGGAATCTTAAAAATGGTGAATCATCTTAAACGTCCCTTACTTCACCGTATTTGTAAAAAGGTATTTAGAGGGTAGGCAGCAGATTTTCCTCCAGTCCAGGTCTGAAGTGAGGTTATTCCAGTAGGAAACAACATTTGGAACAGAGACGTTTTCTTTTTCAAATAAAGCAGGTATAACACAGTTATATAAATATATATATATATATATATATATATTAGAGGAGAAACAGGTCTGTCTGAAATACTTTTTGTAAAATGTGGGCACACAAATAAACTAGTGTCAAATGTTTAGTGGTGTTGCGTTGTGCAATTTTGATTGAAAATGATTTTTCTGTGGCAGATGGGCTTTTCTGGTGTAGAAACACTAATTTACTTGTAGTCTTACTGGTTAAAAACTATGCATTTTCAATTATTTGGCCTGTGACTTTTTTTTTTTTTTTTGTATATGACCCAAAGGAAAAAAAAAAACCAATGGTGCTCCCTGCATATGAATCTCCCTCTGGAGTTTTTCAGAGGGGCTCCTGATGAGGTTAATTCTTTGGAGCCTGCATGGTGCTTCAAATCAGACATGGTTCCAACCAGTCATTATCGGTAATTTAAACTAAACTTAAACTTTTTAGTTTACTGAAATAGACATTAAAACTAAACTTCAGGGGGGAAAAAAATCACTGAAACAACATTGTGTACTTACAAGACTAACTTAAATAAAATAAAAAAATATACAGAAAATGTCTTGTTTTAGTTTTTGTCAGTTTGGTCAAACTTGACAACACAACATGAGGTATTGGTGCATCTGTTAGAGGCTGGGATGTTGACATAACTGTCCTCAAAAAGTTTATATTGTAACACCTCCTGTGAACTTCTCAAATCGCACCCCTTACAAATACCCTAATATTATGCTAAAAAATTAAATTAATATTGAAACTAATTACTCAACTAAAATTTAACACTTTTAAACATCAGAAACTGAAGTGACAAGCAAACTTGCTCTGGAAACTTGCTGAAACTGAACTGAACTAAAAGCAATAAGAAAAGGAAAACAAATGAAAAATAAAATACAAAATCATACCACCCTGATTTCAGATGTTTTCATCAAAGCAAACTAGCCATTTTTCCACAAACACACATGAGAAAGACTAACATAAAATCAGAGAGCCCCCTAAAACACCCCACCCACAGCCCTGGTATGGTGGAAGTTTTAATAAGTTTGAATAAAACAAATAAAATTCAGTCAAATAAGGTATGCGATCCTAATGTTTGTCCATAAAGTGTATATTACAATGTCAAGTAGAGAATAAAAACATTGGAGGACATGTTTCCTTATTAAATGGGTGAGGGGGTGTAATGAAGAGCCTAATATTTTCTACACATTGTTGGTTTAGATGCTTTATAACTGTGAGGTGCAACATGAACACATATCTGTAGATTCAATGTGACTTACACTTCCTGAGGATATCATCAACTCTGATGTCCGTCCTGAAGAAACTTCCATAAATCTCAGAAATCATAGGAACAAAAACCCTCCTTATAACTGCAGAACCTGCTTGAGAATTGTCATGTTTTTAAGTTTTCCTTGGTTTTAAAGTAATCCAGTGACAGTTCTCTGTACATCCATGGGTACAATGCGAACAGGAGCTGCTAATAAATAATTCGGCATACTTTTAATGAAGACTAAATATAAACAGGTTAAAAAAACGGGGCTCAAGATGCAGCTCACAGCTGTTAGCAGTCCCAAACAAAGCTGTGACTCACGTACTTTAACTACCTCTTCTCAGAGTCGTATCTTTGTCAAATCCACACACACAGAAATGACACACATATTTTTAAATTCAGTGTGACTTACACTTTTCTGGGGAGATGACTGTCATGAGTAAACGTCCATAATCCTGCTAAGAAATCATAAAGAGAAAAAAAGACGCTTCTCGTTACTGCAGAACCTGCCTGAGAATCATCGTGTTTTTAAGTTTACTTCAGGATCTGAGTAATACAGTGACAGTTGTCGGTACACTGATGAGTACACTGCAAACAGGAGCTGCTAGTGGCTAATTCGGCTCACTTTAAATGCAGAATTGCCAAAATACAGACAAATATAAGATAAAAGGATGCAGTGTGGTTGTTTTACCACAAAGAGGCGCTGCTGCACTGTTACAGATTAATTAAAGGGCCGGTTCACCAAAACTACATAAAAACAAAGCTGTATTTTCTCATTTAAGTTTCCAATCATGTTGAAAGTTTTGATTTAATTTCTTTAAGATTTCTGCCTCCAATCAAATACAATGGAGCTCAAATAAAATCTCATTATACAAGGAAAAATTATGTGTATGGCTCAAAGAGAAATGTTTTGACTTCCTCTTGGGGTTTCGTGGTTCACTTACAGCATTGAATTATGGGTCGCTGTACCTGTTGCATGACCCTTGTGACAGAAGAGAGCGTTTTACCTGGAAATAATCAGGAACCACGCATGCTGCACCACCGTGACTCCACCCGCCTCACAGCTTCTGCTTCTCAGTGCTGGTAAACTTCACAGGATGTTTCAGTGCAGATTAAAGAGCAGATCAGAACATGTGGTTTCCTCATAGTGACAGCAGACCTTCAGCTCAGAGCAGAGAGGAAATGAACCCAGAAAACTGCTTCTTCTTACTGCGCAGTGAGTCTTAAACGTGTCTTATATTTTTAATGTAGATGTCCAGTGTGTTTTAAAGCTTGTTTCCTGAATAATTTATCCTCCAGAGACTCTGAAGTTCAGTGACGTATTTTAATGTGTTGTGACTCTGTTTGATGCATCATGTTAAAGGGCACCTCAGCTCCGACTTCATGTGGGACTGAACTATTTGTATCCTGTTTTACAGCAGTCACTTCACTTTATAAGTAACATTTTTCTATTTAAAATGGGATGTTTGTTCCCAGAATCTCCATACCCACAGTGTGTCTGCTGCTTGATAGAAACACACTAGGTACACTGCAAAACAAATCCTCATCTTATTGAGTCATTTCTGTCTGTAATTAATTGTTTTTTGCTTTTTAATTTTGTTTTTTATTTAAGGAACAGTGTGTAAAGGGGGGGGTAGTTGTATCTTGCAGTGAGGAGTGCAGATTGCAACTAGCTGTGGTCATTGTTCAGGAGGTTTTTACCAGGAGCTCATTTATCATTTATTTTCCATAACCTCTTATCCTGTTGGGGGTCACTGGGCAGGTCACCAGACTATCACAGGGCTGACACATAGAGACAGACAACCATTCACACCTACGGACAATTTAGAGTCGCCAGTTAACCTGCATGTCTTTGGACTGTGGGAGGAAGCTGGAGCACCTGGAGGAAACCCACGCTGACACAGGGAGAACATGCAGACTCTGCACAGAAGGGCTCCCCCACCCTGGGTTCGAATGAGGAACCCTCCTGCTGTGGTGACGGTGCTAACCACTGCATCACCGTGCAACCCATGAAGACACTTATTATACTATATATTATCCTACAAACTGGACCTTTAAATAGAGGTGGAGAAAACATCTTCAACCTTATTTAAGGAAGTACATAAAGCACACTGCGGCACTGTAATCAGTGAAAATTAAACATAATTTTAGATAGTTTTTAAAAAGTATTCAACAGACCCCAAAATGACTGAATTACAGACTAAAATTAGTGACAAAAAATGAAATAGTTTTGCAGTGTATTCCAGAGAGTGTAGGGTTAAAGGGGGCCCAGCAGCCCAGTGTGGCCCTTGGCCCCCCTTATAGATTATTACGGCCCTGTTTAAATGCATTTATGTAATCGCATAGTCTGAATATATAACCAAACCCTGCCCATACTATTCCATCTTTACCGACGCTTTTATTTTGTTAATTCTTTACCACATGCTTTTATTCTGAAGACCACTTCCTGTCACTTCCTGTCTTGTGTGTGTTAAGCTGTGTAGGCTTGACTCAGCTGGTCCAGCGGACTCCCTGCAGCAGCAGCAGCAGCAGCAGCAGCTCTGCTCCACTCAGACCGACAGACGCACGGACGAACGGTCACCGGACAGACCGGGTACCTGCTGTACAGCCGCGGACCTGATTGAAGACTGCAGGACACACACATGTAAGAGTGACTGTGTTGTATTTCACTGTGAATGTGAGAAGGGACACGCTGCTGATGTCATCACTGATGTGGTGCCTTTTAATGTCAGTAACGTGTGTTAGCTATATAGTGTGATGATGGTAGTACTGTTGTATCAGCGGGATCGTTACTGCTGTTAGTTACATTACTGGGAACAGTATGTTTAATAGTAGTTGTATTAGGCTGTTACAGTGTCTGTGTCAGTGGTGCACAGTAGATGCTGCTAGAGGTGGAATGTAACTAAGTAGAATTTACTCGAGTACTTAAGTGCAGTTTTAAGCTACTTGTACTTTGAGTATTCAACTGTGTGCAGCTTTATACCTTTACTCCACTATGTTTCTCTGGGAATAAATTGTACTTTTTACTGCACTACATGTATTTAAAAGATTACTTTACACATTTACATTATTAATGCAAAATATAGTCAGCTAATTAATTATGATGTATGATTATTGATGAAACTATCTACAAGTATCTTAAGTTAGAAGGTTAAATGAGCTCCATCTTCACCAGATGCACACTGGTGCGATGGTCAGCAATGCCACCTCACAGCAAGAGGGTTCCTGGGGTTCGAACCCAGGGCGGGGGAGCCCTTCTGTGTGGAGTTTGCATGTTCTCCCCGTGTCAGTGTGGGTTTCCTCCAGGTGCTCCAGCTTCCTCCCACAGTCCAAAGACATGCAGGTTAATTGGTGACTCTAAATTGTCCGTAGGTGTGAATGATATAATACATATACTGTTCTTACATTGCCTAATGAGTACTGTCGGAGCCATAACATAGTTTGGTTTATATTAGCCGTATCTAAACAAGGTGAATATAAATATACACATGCAGTTATGAAACTGAACTCAGAGTGGAGCATTCATGTGTGAGGTGCATGTAGGTGAGCTCCAGGTGATGGCAATCAGGTGTGTGGAACAGGAGGCAACTTTTTTTTTTTTGATACTTCAAGTTTATTTCTCTGATAATACTTCTATACTTTTACTTAAGTAAAATTGTCAGTGCAGAACTTGTAACAGAGTATTTTCACACTGTGGTATTACTGCTTTAACTTAAAGGTCCAGTGTGCAGGATTTAGGGGGATACATTGCAGGTGTGTAATATAATATAATAAGTATGTTTTCTTTGGGGTATCATCACCTGAAAATAAGAAACATTGTGTTTTCATTACCTTAGAATGAGACGTTTATATCTACACAGGGAGCGGGTCCTCGTTTATGGAGATCGCCGTGTTGCACTGCCATGTTTCTACAGTAGCCCAGAATGGACAAACCAGACACCGGCTCTAGATAGAGACATTCATGTTTTCGTATCGGCCGCTGTAGTTAGCAGCCCCTCCTTGACAAGAGTGTAGCAAAGTGTTTGTACCGGTTTAAATCACCTCAGGTCTCATTTATAAACATTGAGTACACACAAAACGAGGCCTGAAAGAGGCGTACGCCACTTCCCACGCAAAATTTGTGATCTATAAATATGGACTTGACAGGAGAAACTTTCACCCATGCTTACGAACATTTTGGAGACAGGGAATTGGTGATGCAGATGTCGAGATGGAAGCCTGATTGTGGAAATTTACCAATATTTCTGGTGCACACCATTTTTGGCTTTTGTCTGTACATATATTTTCAGTATGGATCAACACATTCTCACTCTGACCTTGTCACATATCGACATTTGCTCATGGACTTTCAACGTCCACATACGACATGAAAGGTACCCTGGGTGTGTTGGTTGTTGACATTCTGGGACGCCGTCTCAAGTTCTGCCTGTTGCATGTATTGTCTTCTTTCTAAATACGCTTCTGTTTTCACAGGAAATGTACAGTTTGCGTACAATCTTTCAAAATAAACACACTACATTGGTACATCAATGCAAATTGGTGTTTTTTTGTCCTTCAACAACAAACACACATGATTGGGTTTAGGAAAAAAGGACAGGGTTTGGCTTTATAATCTTATGGGACGTGAACACCGCTCTCTTGGGTCAAAGTCGGTGTTTGTTGAACCCATCCACCACCACTCCTGCCCACACCAGCCGGACTTTTGCTGCCTTAACTTTTGTCCTTGTCCCGCTGCGTTACCCCATGATGCCACTGGGCGCCGTTAAACTGTAACAGCAACCAGCCGACGATAAAGGACACCTTTTTCATTGGTTTCTGACAAGTCACTTCCCAAGTGCCGGATTTTGACGATTTCAGATTGAGACCTGGAGACGGAGAGACCGCTGTGGATAATTTTGCTCCTGTAAAAACTTCCTTAAAGCAGCTGTGCGGAACTTTACGTTTTCGTTGATTATAGTGCCCCCTTTGGTCAAAGCGGTATGACACCCACAGCCTGGTGTCGTAAAATTCCGACTGCAGCCAGTTTTCGGTTTCATTCGTAAAATCTCGACTGCAACCGGCAATTACCGCATGCATTTGTTTTGGAGAGCGAGAGGAAAATCATAAATGTTCTAGTGTAGCCCTGAATTTCTTATAAACTGAGGACAACTGCCTGCTGTGTATTTGTGTTCATGGTCACAGTCACAGATAATTTTGTGTCTTTTGTTTTAACGTTACTAGACAAAAGCTGTTCACATCAGCTAACGTTAAATTTAGCTTGCTTATAACTTCCATGTCGTCATATATTGAAGTGAAACAACGTCTAACAAGTTGCGGTATATTCTCTAAATAAAAACAAAAATTACATACCTGTCGATTAGGAAAAGGACCAACTCGGGATCAGTTTTAAAACCTTTCAAATCTCCCACTTGGTGAATGCCCGACCGAGGTTTACACGCGTTTGGGCTCGAGCCCTATCACTGTTCTGTTTAACCTTCTTCTGTTCTTCTGTTCTTTTTCTTTTAGATGGTGCTCCTTCTTTATCCTCCATGACATCGAAAGTACAACCAAGTCCTTATAGATACATCTGGTAAAACTGTTATGTGTTCAGCAATGCCTGTTGCGTACCGCTTCCTCGAAGAACACTCTGTAAACACAGCTCTTCTTCTTCTCTCAATTTATTGGCAGATCGCAAACAGGTGCAAACCACCACCTACGGTACAAGAGACTACTCCCTACTACATGTCATTTAGCCTGTTTCTTAAATCCTACTCGTAAACATGGCTCCTTCTTCTTCTGTGGTTTAATGACTGCGGACCGCTGCAGGCGTGCAGACTTCAAACCGTATTCTGGTTTGCTGACTTCCGCTGTGTGTCCGACCCGACCGAGTCTACGCTAAATAGCCATATAGAGAAAGGCTTTTTTGTCGCTGTTGGGTTCAAATAAATATGCGGATCTTCAAGGAGGGGTTATACGAACTAGGGACAGTTTTATAAATGGTAAAAAGTTCCGCACAGCTGCTTTAACATCTGGCTCTTATTGTATCAGAGAAAAAGGGTGAGCACACATTAGCAGGTGCAAGGCTAACGGCTCATTTCCAAGATGTCAAACCCCGTAGGAGAAACACTGATTTATAACATGAAACTGCTTTATTGGTTCTCAGTTTAAAAACAGAGACCTCTGCAGATAATTCGGTTCCTGGTTATAACCTCCTGAGCAATGAACACTGAAGGAATTCTAACCAGGAGAAGTTTCTACGCCAACAATTTCTGCTAACTCTTTCACACTGTACCTTTAAGTTAAAGACCTGATTGCTTCTTCCCTCACTGCAAAGCACTTCATGGTTAAAGGGATGTGTTGCACTACATTTCTCTGATAGCTACAGTTTCTTTGATGTAGAGAGAACATGATAAATTTATGAGATATGATGCAGTATAATAGATGAAAAGCTCAGCACAGCGTCTCAGGTGTTTTCAGTGACTGTAGCTGATCAGAGGCTGAAGATGTGCTGTAATTAACATGGATAAGAAAGATTAAGTTTTAAATTACAATTGTTTCATCTTGTTGCATGAAATATTATCTTGTGCATGTAAGATTTAAAAAATAATAAGCTTTTAAGGACCTTTGATGAGCTCCATAGTTTAACACTCTGATTGCATAATGAGTACTTCTACTTCAGGTACAATTTGCTTGTAATACTTATTAACTTTTACTCGAGTACAGTGATGAGTGATGGCTGTAACAGAGTATTTTCACACCGTGGTGTTGCTACTTTTACAGTAAACGATCTTAGTACTCCTTCCACTGCTGGATGTCACCATATGTTGGTTCACAGAGGCGGAGGAAGATCTGAATACACAGCCTGGTGTTTTGGCTCGGCCCGCTCGCTGCGTTTTCTGTTTCCTCGTGTGTGTTCAGAGGCTCTCGGGTCTCTCCGGCACCGCAAACAAAACACCTCATTCACTGAGAGGCGGCAGAACCGGGCGACTTCCAAAGAAAAATCCCACAGTCCTCCGCCCACAGAGACGTTTATCACAGTCCTTCACCCACAGAGACGTTTCTCACCTCCTCTGTGGGATTCAAATTAACTGTCACCTGGGTTATTACTCACTGTTGTCACTCATCATCTCGCCTCATATTAGTATCATAACAACAACTGTGATATTATTTACATGATGATCTGAAACGTCTTCATCTGTTTAACAAACATTTTTTTTTATAATTAAGGATTTTTATGTGTTTTTATGTTATGTTTTATATTTTTCATGTCGTCGGGAGGAAGCAGTGAGCTACAGACAGGAAGTCAGACCGTACTGAGGGACGGAAGACAATAGGAGAAATATAATAACACCAGGAAAGTTCCATCCTTTAAATGTTAAAAAGTAGAAGTACTAATACCACACTGTGAAAATACTCCACTACAAGTAAAAGTCCTGGAATTAAAACCTTATTTAAGTAAAAGTATGTGTCAGCAAAATGTAGTTAAGTGCAGTAAAGAGTTTCCGTGTCATTTTACCGCTGCAGATGTTTAAGGGTGAGCTTATTTTAACTCTTTTATATACTGTTGGGGTTAATCTACATCGATGCATCATATTCTATATGATCATCATGTGTTTGTAGCGTGACTGTCCTGTGAGAACCATGAATCACTATAAAGTCAGAAAA